AAACCAAACATCTGGATGATGTAGTGTGAATATCTTCCCATCTCCCAGTGCCTGTTTTCTTAAAGCCTCTTAGTTTCTTGGTTGGAACAAGATTTCCCCTGCCTTCCAGGGTCTGGCAGCAAGCGCTCTCAGTGGATTCCCAAGCAGTGGTCTTAGCCGGAAGGCAGTTTTCCTATTTACTTTAAGTGACGGTTTTACGATCCCTTCTCAAGGATATGATTTTTTTTTAAGGTAATACTTGACTAGTTGGAAAAAACTTCCATGTACTTTAGCATATCTGTTCTGAAATGTGTACAGCATGTTTCTATACATAGGCAAGTGTTTTAACTGGAAAGGTGTATTCTAAGCTTGCATGCCTACCCATTTAGAATGCATCTGGATAATCAAATTCTTAAGCACAAAGGTACATCATCATCTTTTATTCTTAAAAGCACATAGAAGAAGACTACAAATAGGTGTTCTTGGAATCGCATGGTTATGCTTGTGCTCTCTTTCTTGGATTCTGGTCTTGTCTTTTTTGAAAGCTTTGAATTATATTAAAATATATAATCTCATATTCATTTCTCCTCTTAGAAAAGACAAACATTTGTAACTTTTTGATTGTTTGTTTTTTTGGCTGCATGACACATAGGATCTTAGTTTTCTGACCGGGGCTCAAACCTGAACCCACTGCAGTGGAAGTGCAGAATCTTAATCATGGGACCACCAGGGAAGTCCTGTTAATATTTTAAAGTAGAAAAATTATAAGGAACCAGTTACACTTTAACGCATAGACCCAATTGTAAGGGAAATACAGTATGAAATGTAAGAAAACCAAAATTTAATTACCTTTTAATAGAACTATGAATTTATGAAAACCTGTGAAACTGAAATTCATAAAATCTACAAAGTAGTGTACTAAAGTGGTTCATAAACTTGGAGTTAACTTTTGAAAGTGAAAAAGCTTCATAGAACCTCCTCTTGTTATTGTTGTGTGTTTGCTCAGTCATGTCTGACTTTGCAACCCCATAGACTATAGCCCACCTCTGTCCATGGAATTTTCCAGGCAAGAGTACTGGAGTGGTTTGCCATTTCCTTCTCCAGGGGATCAATCCCATGTCTCTTACATATCAGGGAAGCCCAGAACCTCATCTGCTGCTGCTGCTGCTAAGTCACTTCAGTCGTGTCTGACTCTGTGCGACCCCATAGACGGTAGCCCACCAGGCTCCCCTATCCCTGGGATTCTCCAGGCAAGAACACTGGAGTGGGTTGCCATTTCCTTCTCCAATGCATGAAAAGTGAAGTGAAAAGTGAAAAGTGAAAAGTGAAAAAGTGAAAGTGAAGTGAAAAGTGAAAGTGAAGTCGCTCAGTGGTGTCCGACTCTTAGCAACCTCATGGACTGCAGCCTACCAGGCTCCTCCATCCATGGGATTTTCCAGGCAAGAGTACTGGAGTGGGGTGCCATTGCCTTCTCCAGAACCTCATCTAGAGGTTGCTAATTTAAAGTCTGGAAAATTAGGAATAAAGATATTTTCATCATACTTTTAAGTTGAGACTGATTCAACTTAGTGCAAATGTGAAGAAGGTGAGTTGTAAGTATAATATTTTATGTTATGGTGGCATCATATGGATATAGTTAACAAGCAAATATGTGGAAAATATTTTTTATCATGCAATTTGCAAGGCAATGAAAGAATTTTAAGTTGTTAAGAAGCTAGTATTAAGGTAGAGGACTATTTTAATCAGTGAAATTAAATGCTTGGAGTATGGTTTTCATGATAACCCTATGCTATTAAGAGTTTGCTTTAATCTTGCAAAATGCTTTTCATATTAATACTTGAATAAACATTTTTAGGTAACAAGTTTTAATTTTATAATTTAAAAAAAAGTTATTTTATTTATGTTTTTATTGGCTGCACCACATGGCATGCTATCATATGCAGGTCATTAGTTCCCCATGTCCCCCTGCAGTGGAAGTGCGGAGTCCTAGCCTCTGGGCTGCCAGAGAGGTCCCAGAAGTTTTCATTTTAAATAGTAGCTTTCTTTTACATGGATTATTGAGTTTTTTCTTGACCATTTCCTGTAGAAACTCTGAAAATGGCAGCATTGATTTATTTGTGGAACTGAAGACACTTATTTAGTCAAGGTTCATCCTATTCATTTACTTCCACCAAGACAAGAGTGTCTGGGAAAACTCTAGACTTGGGAGGCTCTAGAGAGTGCAACAGCTCTGGGGTTCAGTTTAGCTGCTGCTGGGGCCATGTTTAATTAGATCCTTACTTTCTTTGTTTTGGGCTGGGGGACTGGAGAGGGTTGCTGTTTAGATATAGTTCATAAAACTCCCTTATTGCTTATAGGAAAAACTCCTAAAGGGATGGAAGAGGGGACCACTAAGAATATTCTTTAGTTACAAGGTTGAGCATTCTCAGACTTACCTTCTCGCAAAGCTAGCAGTTACTTGCGGGCCACGTCCCTTATATGTTTGACAACAGGCACTTTGTTACTCCTGTGGCCTCTTTTCATCCAACATCAAGACAGCGCAATTTACGTTAAAAAAAATTGCTAGTTTCTTAGGAGGTCATCATCTGTGCCATTGAAGGGTTTTCAGTCTAGTAGGACGAGATTAAGATGGAAACAAGTAAGTTTAGGAATGTCTTATGTGTGTTAATGATAAATTCATGCCTTAAGCATAGTGCCTTCCATTTCTGCAGGACCTGAGAGAAAACTAATATGCCCCAGAACCAGAACAGTGCCCTGCACCAAAATTTACTTGCTCTACCTCTTCCTCCAGGAATCTGAAATGCATTGCTTCTTCCCAGACTAAGACCAATCCTTAGATGTTACAGTGTATCTTTCATTTCCCTACCCTGGTAGCTAAGTATTTGCTATTAACTAGAGCTTTCTAAATATAATGGCTTATCCCTAAAGGACTCTAATGAAAGGATTATAGGTTAAGTGGCAAATGTGTGCCAAAGACTTTTGGATAAGCCAATTACCTTGATGGTTTTTCTCAGTTAATTGTTAGGGAGTGAATGAACTGCTTTTAGATGAAAGTGATAATTCTCTCTATACTTAAATCAATGTAGATTTTTTCTAAAAGGTGAATGCAGTTCATCAATACCAATCATTTCTAGTTAGAATTCAGTTCAACAATACAAATTGAATGCCTCCTATGTGCAGGGCTCTGAAAGATAAGTAAGAAGCTGTTCTGTTTCCTAGGTGTTAACAGTGCATTGGGGAAATAATGCAAGTTCTAATGAGACAATAGCTGAATTGGACCTGATTTTTTGCTCTCCATCTCATGAAGGAAAGTAGTAACACAGAGTAAATGCCAGTGATCCCTGCCACTCTATCTTTCAAACTTTACTCCAGCCCAACCAACCTATTGCTTTTTTTTTCAGATCCCAAGCTCACCACCTTCTCACCTGCCTCATGGTCTTTGAAAATATTGCCCATTAGTCTGGTAATCTCCCGATTCAACTCCCTTTAACTCCTTCAATGTAGACATGCTCTCCCCCCAGCAAGCTCTTGATCCGCTAAGACTTTCAGGAGTCTGTTCTGTTCTCCCACAGCAATCATGATTTTGTGCTAGAGTAGTATTTATCATGTTGCAGTGAAATTGCTTGTACACATCTTTGCCTCTTCTCCTAGACTGTTTCTTAAAGTCAGTGCATCTGTTTTGCTCACCATCCTATCTGCAGTGCCCCTTAAGTGGTGTTTAGCTCATCATGAAATGAATGAATAAATGAGTGGGTGAATAATTTTCTTAAGACAGAATCAGTCCTTTTTGTTGAGCTGTAATTTTCAATAGGGTAGAGGAGGGGAACTATTAAAATCACCTGTGTCCTGATTTCAACGCATATATTTCGTCTTACTCTTCTGAAATGCCTTTCATATATCATCCCATTTAAGATTCCTGATGACAGTAGTAAGAAGTCAGTGTTATTAATAGGAATGTGGCAGTGTGCAATGTCAAAATCTAGCAGATTTGCAACAATAGCTAGTAAATACATTGGGGGAGACTGTGGCATCACAAACGAGTGTTGGTGATTAAAGCACATTTGGACAGATATAAACTGGTTGAATGGACTGCCCAGGTGGCTCAAGTGGAAGAGAAGCTGCCTGCCAATGTAGGGGCCATAGGAGACACAATCCCTGGGTCTGGAAGATTCCTTGGGGGATGAAATGGCAGACCATACCAGTGTTCTTGCCGGGAAAAGCCAAGTGAGCCACAGTTCATGGGGTGGAAAAGAGTCCGACAATTGAGCACTCACATACGTACAGACTGGGTGAAGAACAACAGGTCAGGCAGAAAAAGGGGAAAAGTGATCTGAGCAAAGGCCTGAGAGCTGGGGAATTCAGTTGACATTAGGATGCATGTGGAAAAGTAATGGGCAGTTGGCCTAGAAGTCATAATGGGATTGGCTGTGAACTCTGGGCTTAGAGGGGTTGTTTATTTTGGTAAGAAATAAGGTGTGATGAGGGAGTCTTGTGAAGCAAAGTGATAGGGTTATACTTCGGGAGTTAAATTTCAGGAAGTTTCTCTATCCACAGCTTGCATAATAGATCAAAAGGGAAATGAAAGCAGGCAGGGATGACTATTTAGCTCAGTTTAACAAATATTTGTTATGTGCCTAATATATATTGGGCGTTGGAGAAAATATACTCTTTCCATAAGAGAACTTAGAGCCTAATGAAGGAAACAAAATAATTAACAGTCACTTTTAGTAAAAATCTCCTAAGCAATAGAAGTCAGAAATGAAGGAAACCTGAATGAGGGGAAGAGAAAAGGAAAGTTAGAGGAGATTCAGGGGAAATTTGCATGTTGAATATTTCACTGAGGTCTTGACCAGTGTCAAATTATCCTTAACCAAATTGAAAGTAGATGTGAGAGCAAAGAGAGAAGACAGGTTCCAGCTGCACTAGGAATTAACTGCCTCTTTGTCACCTTGATCTGTTTTTCCTTTTGTGTGTGTTGGCCTCATTCTTAGGCTCCATCTTCAGGGCCCTTAGCACCCTTAGGGCTGATCTCATTCCCCTAAGATGTCCTTTCCCAGGAGATTATTAGAGCTGCTTTGACTCTGATTGACCTGGCTGGCTGCTAAGTCAGGTCTTATGGCCGGGAATGGGGATGGGGCATATAGTACACTGACTGGCCAAATAACAAGATAACTTTCATCAGGAGGTGATGATAACAGCTTCACTCTATTCACATGAATGGAGAGTAGATTTGGCCTATTCTCAAAAGGAAAAAAAAACAGGGACACTTTTAACTAGAAGAAGGTATTTGGAAAAACCAGTCCATGACACCAGGCAAAGTAGATTTCAAACATTTTAACATTGCCCCATTTGAACTTCAGCACAATTTGTGAGAAGTTTATCCACCAACTTGGTAAAGAAGCTGTGCTCTAGAGAGGCTAACTGGCCATTTGGTCTTAGCAGAGGAACCACTATTTCATCGTTCGGATACAACTATCACCTGGACCAGTAGACGTGTAGACTGGTGAGCACCACCCAGGCTGAAGGTATCAATGAGAAAGTGTCCCCTGGTTGCAGGCGTTGGAGATGATGACCACCAAGGTGAAAAGTACAGAGTGAGCAAAGGTCAGGAGACAGAACTGGGAAGAAACGTCCACATCTGTGACACAAGTCTGAAGGAGATGGTAGCCAAGGAGGGTTGGAAAGAGGAAGTCAAAGAAGGTAGAAGTGTGCTTGTATACAATTACATTACTTTTTACTATCAAGTCTATCAAAGGACTATTGTGTGGGGGAAAAAAAGAGAAAAATAGGAAAAGACTAAAGGTAAGATGTTGTAAATGTTTATTATTTTGTTCTAAGAGTGTCATTAAATCTTAAAGGATTTTAAAGTGAAACAGTCATGACCATGATGCATAGATGTTGACAGCTGTGAACATGAAGAAAGAGCACTGTGTTTTCATGGATGGCTAGAGCAATAATTGTTCTGTGTTAACGGTGATAATAATACTAATAATGATAGCAGCTAATATGTTACATATGTTACATGTAACACTGTGCTTTTTGCTAACTCATTAACTCCTCAGAATGGTCCTATAAAGCAAGTACAGTTGTTATCCTTATTTTGCAGGTAAGAAAACTGAGGTACAGAGAGGTGGAATAATTGGTCCAGTTGGTTCTAGAATCATTTTTCGTAACTATTGCATCTCACTGCCTTTCCTGGAGATAGATAGGTGTGCTTGGGTAGCACAGAAGCAGGGCAGATTAACAAAGGATTTATGCTCTTTTTTATCCTACAGAACAAATTTCAATCCATCACCTAAAAAAAAAAGATTTTTTTTGCTTTTTTTAAGTGTAAAGTTTGGCTTTTAGTTTTTAGTAGAACAATTGAAAGCACTTGGGGGAGAGTGTGCCATTTGATGTTTGGAAAATCGAAGCATCATTCCTGCTCTGAAGGACTAATGGTCATCATTTATGTGGGTGCTTGTGACTGAAAAGGTCAATGGACAGAAAAAAATAGCAGAGAAACACACACAAGGACAGTTGGGATGGTGGTGTCACATCATTCATCAGTTTTATAACAGTGTTGACCTTTGTCAACATTTTTTAAAGGAAAAATCATAAGGCAGCAAAAAACAAAGAGCCACAAATGAACAAAACTGAAAACAGGTTAAAACCCCCTTGAAGACTTGAGAGAATAGATCTTTTTGCTTTGAAGGACAGTCTCCTAGTCCTGTGTTCTCTGGAGAATTCTGCCTACATTTGTATCTTTTCCACATCTGCTACTTCAACATTCTTCATCTTTCCCAGAGTGAAAATTTCCTATTTGCTTAGTGTCTTTCTGAATTGTCAATACCCACTCACAGAAGTAACTTCAGATTATATAACAGCATGAAATTTTGTTTTGACTTAAGCCTTTCTATTCGCTGAGAAATAGTAGAAGAGGTTTCCCTCTTTCAGTTTTGGACTCAGGTAAGAAAATTCAAATAGATGAGAACCTATTATGTTTAGTGTTGAATGACTACCTTTGCTTCTCATTTTGCTGGCATATTGTTTAGATTCTATTAAATCCCTTTTGGTCCATTTCTTAATATGATGAAAGGGATGTATTATTTCATCCCTTATCACTGACTTGCATGTGTGTGATGACTTATATTCTAAAGCCCAGTATAATTTAGTCTTATTTCATGTTCTTGTGCCATAATATTCATTGAGTAAATAAAAACCTACCTAATAACACCCATCAGATAATTTTATCAGACTGATGTCTCCACTAGTGGAATATATTTTGAACATGGGTGAAATGTTCCTTTGCTCTTACATTTTTGTTTTATTGATGCTGTTTGCCATTTTTTTCCTACAGTGCAGAAAATTTAGGGCTGTGCCTCAGTTTTTTTCTCACAGTGAAATTATGAGAATTGTTGTTTTGTCCTTTGTTTTGAAATTCTTGTTTCATTGGAGTTAGACTTATATCTTATTGGCTGCTGTGGATTACTAGATTTATTGCTATGGACATAAGAAATTCTGGCGACTTTGAACTGATTGAAAAGGAAAGCTGGTTGTGGAGCTGAACTAATAGCATGTAGAAAACCTGGTTTAGGGAACGTGGCTCCATCCTATACGGGTCTGCCACTGAAAGGGTGAAATACTCTCCTAAACAAAACATGCTTCTCAGCTTTCCTTGCTAAATTAGCCAAGTCTTATCCCACAGTGTTCTGCTGTTGAGCTTTCTGCTGCCCCGACTCTGAATATATGAGTGTTTCTGCATTGATATTAGAGAAATTCACATCAGTATTTAGGTTAATGTTTAGTGGAGGCCAGTTGGCTTTTTATTCTCAATGGCTTGAAATCAGCTTTCTCTGACAACACTGTTTGGCAGTTTTTCATATTTCTTTAAAATTTTAATTATAACCCATCAAGTCTTAAGCAATTACTTCTGGGGTAGACTCTTGATGAATGTCATAACAAGGTGTTTTAATTTAATGGATACAGAATAACATCTGTTTCTAATATTTTAAAAGCCAATTTATATGGAAATTCATTTATACACAGTCAATACACAGAGCCTTGTAAAAATCAAATCAAAATGGAAAATCAAACCACCATGATATAGTAGGTCTTCTGTTAACAAAGGATTTCACTGATGAGTAGATTCAGCTGCCACTCACTAATACCCTAAATAAAGAAGAAAGAAAGTGAAGTCGCTCAATTGTGTCCCCATGGACTGTAGCCTACCAGGCTCCTCTGTCCATGGAATTTTCCAGGCAAGAGTACTGGAATGGGTTGCCATTTCCTTCTCCAGGGGATCTTCCTGACTCAGGGATCTAACCCAGGTCTCCTGCATTGCAGGCAGACAGGCAGTAGTTGTTTGCAGGCAGTAGTTTGGCAGTAGATTATATATGTAGTAGTGTTTGGCAGAATAGATAAAACAGGCATCGACATACATTAATGGTAACTGGCTCATTCTATCCCCCAGGTGCACCTGATTTCAGAAGTTGTGGGTCAAGCTGAATTTTAAATTCAGGGACTTTCTGTCGATGAGAATACAGTCTTTGAAGAATAGTAATAGCAACAGGTAACAGGGCCAAGATGTTCCTTGCACTAGGTCTCCAGAACATGCATGAATCTGCACAGCAGTGTCCTTTGCTTTTCTGCATAGAAGATAAATGAACACTTACAAGAGTTAGAAATGTGGAATCTTGGGCTCCTCCTCGACCTACCGAGTTAGAACCTTTGCGTGCCTGTTAACAAGATCCCCAGGTGATCCTCATGTATGGGAATCATTTCCCTGGGCAGAGATTCTATCTAAAATTTATTTCTACTAACAGAGCTAGTCTTTCCTCTAAGTCTATCCCCTACATCAGTATTACCTGAGACTTTGCTTCTTAAAAAATGTCTATTCTCAGGCCTTAAATAAGCCTGGTTCCTGAGATCTGCATTTCTAGCCATCATGCCACAGGAGGGCAATTGTTTGACAACTTCTTTGAAACTCTGCATTCATTCTCCAAAGGTATTTGCATTCAAACAAGGAAGAAAAGCTTTTGAGGAGAAGAAATACAACCCTAATTGTGGTACCTAGTAAGTGTGACTGGGAGGATCTGAATTCAATCTCCCTGTGAAGCCACTCTAAGGCTTTTTTGCATTCATCATGTACACCTGAAGCCCATCTAAAACCCGGTGGTGAGAAAGCTATGCAGGAAGGCGATGTTTCAGTAGTATATTTTAGTAATGTGTTTTTTCTCTTTCTGTCTTTTACATTTGATTTCTTTTCTGACATTGTTTTTTAGCCGTGCTATCAAGACGAACCAGGACCTTCTCCCAGAAACCCCCTGGACCCACATTTTCTACAATGACTTTTGGGGGACCCTGCTCACCCACAGCGGCAGCCACAAGTCCTACCGGCCCCTTTGCACTCTTTCTTTCCGCCTAAACCATGCCATCGGAGGGCTGAATCCCTGGAGCTACCATCTGGTCAATGTGCTGTTGCACGCGGCTGTCACTGGTCTCTTCACAAACTTCTCTAAGATCCTCCTGGGGGACGGGTACTGGACCTTCATGGCTGGCTTGATGTTCGCCTCTCACCCCATCCACACGGAGGCAGTGGCCGGAATCGTGGGCCGGGCTGATGTGGGGGCCAGCTTCTTCTTCCTCCTGTCCTTGCTCTGCTACATGAAACACTGCTCTACAAGAGGCTCCTCGGCCAGGACCTGGGGCTGGTTCCTGGGGACGGGCATGTGCGCCGGATGCAGCATGTTATGGAAGGAGCAAGGAGTCACGGTCTTGGCAGTTTCCGCCGTTTATGACATCTTTGTCTTTCACAGACTGAAAATGAAACAGATCTTACCCACCATCTACAAAGTAAGTGACTGTTGGGCGTGAGCATCGGGTTACTGAGTTCCCTCTGAGCTTGATCCCTTTTCCCCATTTGAAAAAGCAGATTATTCCGTTTCAAAGAGAACTTAAAGTAAGTTACTTTTTGATCTTCGTGAGGTGGAAGTGTCCTCTCTGGCCTTGCCCTACTAACCTGGGTGTCAGTCTCTGATTATTTTATTTCTCTGGTTTCTTAACTTAGTTTCATGATTTCTGAGAGGGTAGAAGGACAGTTCTGCCTTGTAAAGAATATGCATCTTTATTTATTTATCCTTGACTCCTTTATTTCAGTCCAAGTCCTGTAATCCAATAAATTGCCTGTAATAGGTGTTTGAAAAAATAACACAGCTGATCAGTGAGCTGGATGCTCGACTCTGGAAAGAGGAAATCCTCTGCCGTTTGTTAATATTACTTTTCCTAAACTGACTTTGGAAAACAAACCTCTCTGCTGTGCTCTGGGAAGTCACATTTTTAACTAATGAGTCATATTTACCTTTTCCTTGTTGTAGTGTATAAGAATAGAAGAGTCAAAACAGAAATTGGTTATTATAAGTTCTGCCCTGAGGCCAATTAAGACCTTTGCCTCAGGGCTTAATATGTGTTCTTCCGAATTCCCTCAGTGGTTTCAAATGCAGTGTTGTCTGAAGGTCACAGAAGCACTTTTGGAATCCCAAGTACTAGAAGATAACTGAGCAGTTTCCTGCTGGTGTATTAAGGGGACGCCTTGAGTGCACTAGTGCATCTTGAGAAACTGCCTGCTTCCCATCTCCACATCTTCCCTCCCTCACAATAAACTCAGACTTGCCTTGCCTTTGAGTAAAACACTGCACTTGGCCAGTGCTTACAACCTCAGACATGATTCAGACCAGCTCCTTTATCCTTTCGGATACCCTTCAGCAAGGAGTGTAATGGTTTAGGATACTGACCCTGAGAAAACTGTCAAGTGTTGTAGTTTTAACTGCTTTTTTCCTCTCAGTTCTTAATTTTACACAAAATCGAATTGGGAAGAAATTGAAGAACAAAATGGAAGGAAATAGAAACATTTATTTTGAAATGACTTTTTTTTTTTTTAACTTAGGAATAGTAATTACTGCTGTGCTTCTGCTCTGTGGGGAAACAACCTGTTTACTTAGAACTCAAGTATCAAGTGCTTAATGAAGTTCTTTTGTGATTTCCATTAACTGCTGAATCTTGAAAACCCTCAATCGAATTTGGTGCTTTGAAAACAACATAGGTTTGAAAGCCAAGCTCTTAATTTCAAATCAATTTTAAATATTCATTCAAAGAAATTTAGGGAGAACAATCTTTTTCTTTCTTTTATTTATTTATTTTTAAAATCTTTTTCTTTTTAAAACCACATCATCAACAATAGCAAGTTTTCTTGTTGTACTGGAAATACAAATAGAATAAGTCATGGTCTTTGTCTTTTGTAAGGGTGAGAGCTATTTCGGGATGCAAGTTGGGTGTTTTAAGACCTTGATAGCCTGTGAAGCACTGTGTTTTCTTCTGCAGAATTTTCATCTTACCATTTAATAAATTAGGAAATTATTTTGATATGTCAGTTCAGGACTTGCTTTTAGGATTTTTGAAGTTCTCTTCTGAGAAATTTTTAGTTCTCTAAGCTTATTTTCAAGGATAAAGTTGCTGATAGAGCTCCTTACTATAAGCTTGTCTCATGTAATATTTGGGACATATTTATAAAATAAAATTATTCTTTGTTTATCTCAAAGTACAATACAACTGGGCATCCTGTATTTTATTTGGCAGCCTTACTCATGCAACTGCTGCTTAAGGAAATGAGAACTTCCACTAGTGCAAGGAAAGAAAACTTTTCTTTCCATCTAAGTTCTTTGGTTGAGCTAATAATTAAATTGCCATAGGACAGATTAACAGAATCTGCCTGCAGTGCAGGAGACCTGGGTTCCATCCCTGGGTTGGGAAGATCCCCTGGAAATGGAAATGGCAAATGACTCCAGTATACTTACCTGGAAAATCCCATGGACAGAGGAGCCTGGTGGGCTGCAGTCCTTGGGGTTGCAAAGAGTTGGGCACAAAGTTACCCATCCTATGGGAAAGGACTTAATGCTTCGAATGTTCAGTGTCTTGAGGAGTTCTCAAATGGAAACTTACCCAGGCTCTCTGGTAACCACTGCTTGTGGGCAAGGAAGTTAGTCATGGCAGCAATACACTTCATTTGATAGTTGCTATCTCAGCTTACCTTTTTCTTTTTTCTTAGGTTTGGCCTTTTGAGCTTAATGAGGGCATTTGGATAATAGATTTTATAGATTTGTGAGAAACCTGGAGATGATCTATGCCTGGCCCCTTGTCTCCAGCCGAGGTGTAGAGAACCAGAGATGTGAAGGTCACCCAGAGAATGGAATCCCTGGAACTAGAAGACATATTTGTGGACTGTCTAGTGATCTTACACTGTAAGGGTATGAAGATGAATAAAGAAATTAGATGACTCTGCAGTAGAGAAGGAAATAATAAGCATTGAATCTTAACTTGCACTGAGTGAGTCGCCTTGAACTAGCTCAATGACCTGTTTCTTCATGTCAGAATAGAGATCATGTTCTCCCCTGGAGAAGTTGGGAAGGTTATACGGAATTTTATGGTGTTTGTTGTGAACTGCTGCTGCTGCTGCTAAGTCACTTCAGTCGTGTCCGACTCTGCGACCCCATAGACGGCAGCCCACCAGACTCCCTGGCCCTGGGATTCCCCAGGCAAGAACACTGGAGTGGGCTGCCGTTTCCTTCTCCAATGCATGAAAGTGAAAAGTGAAAGTGAAGTCACTCAGTTGTGTCTGACTATTAGCGATCCCATGGACTGCAGCCTACCAGGCTCCTCCGTCCATGGGATTTTCCAGGCAAGAGCACTGGAGTGGGGTGCCATGGCTTTCTCCATTGTTGTGAACTGGGTACCCAGTATTTGGAAGGCACTTAATGCATATTAGTTGAAAGGAAAGAAGAAATATCAATGGGAATTATAATTCTTTATTTCAAGAAAGAGAAGGCCAAACTTTTCCAGTGGTTTGAAAGCATATGAATTAGGAATCAGCTGAAGCTGAAGCATGAATATTTAAGCAAAAACTTCCATTTAGAATTTAATGACTATAGGGCTTGTAAACATTGGCATAGATTACATATGGAAGTTATAGAAAAATTTCATATTTTGTCTTTAAAATATATAGATTTCTATGCCTGGGGTGAGTTAGAAGAGACTGAAAAAAGTGGATTAACAGACTTTTCAACCTTAAACGAATACATCTTGAATGTCTTACCAATTAACTCTACATCAGAGTTATCATAGTTTGCCAGATGAAATAAACTTCCCTGCCTTATTAAAACAGAATTTATATGTAAACAGAAAAACCCAGTGCACAAATGTTTAGCTCTATTATGCAAACCAAAGAACTAGCCAAATGCTCAAAAATCTAAAAATGGTGGTCCTCCTCAAGCTGGAAACGATTAAAACTAGAGGAGCAATCTCTCCATTTTTATAGTTTTGTCAGTAATGCTTTTCTCATAGCAATCACACTCAGTTTCTCACTCCACATTTCTTTAGTAGTGTCAGATGTTTTGATTCCATGCTTCTTGTCAGATTCAGGTCCCAAAGTCAGCGTTTACTAGGATCAGGCAGAAGGAACTGTAGGGACAGGAGTTACACCCCTTCCCTGGGACTTCTCTCCATCCTTTCATTGCAGTAAGAAAGTACAGGGTTCTGTTTGGGAGAGGTTAAGATTTTTCTAAGACTTCCATCTGGATTTTCTGTGACATCTCCTGTTATTTAATATTGGTTACTTAAGAACAAATATGCCCTGTTTGGGCCAGACAGTCTTCCCAGGATGACTGAATTTGGCCAGAATTCTTGGCTGCCATGTTTTGACTGCTCAGGTTCAAGGAAATGATGCCCGTGTCCATATGACATGTAAAATTTCTATAGTTCTGCAAAGGAAATAAGGAAGTCTTATTTTTCTTAGTGAAGGGTTTGAAAAATAGTAAGTACCCAGAATATTGTAGATGTTTTATTTAGTATTTAGTAACCATGTATGGGATTCCCAGGTGGCTTAGTGGGGAAGAATCCACCTGCAGTGCAGGAGACGTGGGTTTTGATCCCGGGTGGGGAAGATCTTCTGGAGAGGAAGAGGCAACCCACTCCAGTATTCTTGCCTGGGAAACCCCATGGACAGAGGAGCCTGGTGGGCTACAGTCCATGAGGTTGCAAAGACTTGGACACAACTAAACGCACACATGGTCACACAAACCCACACACCATGTACAGTGTTTATATCTCCTGAGCACTGTTCTGAATATGCCAAAAATATTAGCACATTTAACTTAGTAAATGCTTATCAAGAGAATAATATGACTTTTGAAATAATATGGTTGATTATAACATGAAATAATACAGTTTTCAATACTTAGGGAAAAAATTGGAGGATTTGTAGGAGATTAAATATGTGGGCTTCCCCAGTGAATTACTGAATTCACACTTAAAGACTGACTTTTGAAACGGATGTGCCTGCAGTGGTAAAGTGAAATCTTATACCTTCTCCTTTCTACTGTGAGGATTTCATTCCTGATTAGTGAGGTCTGGAAGGTGAGACTGGAAGAGATGCATGTCAGAAAAATGTTGAAAAATAAGTTTTCTTGACCTCTCAACAAATGACTATTTTAGCCTTTCTTAGATGGTTTTCATTTACTTAGCTTTATGTTGTCAAAAAGTAAGGGGGATGGGGAACCCTTGAAAGACACTTAAACTAGCCTTGCAAATAAATGCTAGACTTTTATCTGCCCACAAAATATTTTACAAGTCCCCCATGATCCCAGGAGGTACATGGGTAATAAAATCAGTAAAGGCAACATTTTTCTTACTTACCCAACATCAGTCATTGCTTGCCCAGTGGCCATTTTCTGTGCTTTTTTAACATCTGTTAAATGTTTTAATGTGGAAATATCTTTTTTTCCCCTTTATTAGCCTCATAATCA